CAAGAGATTTTATGTGTTTTGTGCGGTCTATGAGTGTTTTAATTACTCTATTTATTTCATCATGCTCTGCTTACTCTGCTTATTGCACTAGGTGAAATTACATGTCTTATTTGTAAACAATTATAAAAATAGTTTTAAAATACATACAATATCCACTTTATTCCTTCAATAATCGGGACTAGTTACTTGAGAAATTTCCGATAGGAATTTGTGTGTGTGTGTGTGTGTGTGTGTGTGTGTGTGTGTGTGTGTGTGTGTGTGTGTGGGTGGGTGGGTNGTGTGTGGGTGTGGGTGTGTGTGTGGGTGTGTGTGTGTGTGTGTGTGTGTGTGTTTGTGTGTGAAAGAACATATATATTAAATAATAATCTACTTGTAGCTAAGTAATAATCTAGCTTGCATGTTAAATAATATCTTTGTCGTTAAATTTCCCTTTAACAAAGAGGTAGACTAAAAGGAAGAAGATATTTGATGCCTTGGGCTACGCCAACCAACAGAGTATTCGTCTTGTTTAATTGGAACTTTTTTTTCGAAAGTTTTACGCTTAATTAAGCCGTCGTCAAAGGCTTGCGATAAGTCTAGGAATAAAGATGAACATATCGCACACCCACAAGAAAAGGGACACAAGCCAAAAAAATCTAAAACCCGGATAATTTAGTTTTTCTTTAAGTATTCGGGTGTTTTGCTACAGGAAAACTGAGACAACTGTAGGGTGACTCTTAGCTGTTCGGTAGCACAATGTGTCACTTTTGACTTGGGGGGGGGGACGTACTGTCACTTTCACGAAAAGTGTGTGTCTTAGTTGTGTCGAGCTTTAAAACATCAATGTAAGTATTTAACAGAAAAAAATGGCACATTTCTAATTATGTCATTTATCTTCTTGTTTAGAGAAGGATGTTATATTACTCCGGAAAAACATACTGTCGTACGGACACATTATTTTAATATAATTCTCCTGCCTGTCAAGGGATAGCAACTTCGAGCAATTATACATTCATGATTTAGAGTTTATTTGCATGTTATATATTATATATGTATATAATATATACGTGGACAAACTGATATTAAATTCGTGGACAGCCAACAAGAAGGAAACCGCGGTCAATATTGATAATGAAATGTGTGGTGATTAGTGACCGTTAATCGATAATAATTCAGAAACCGTGAGATGCGGTCTGGTGTGATGTAGGTTTCAGAAAATCATTGTTTTTATCGTGCCAACGTTTCGATCTTTATTGAGATCATCTTCAAGGCTCAAAGTGTTTGTCTTCTGTGTAATTGTGCCATTCTTGCGTGTAGTGTTGAGCGTGCCCACGACACGTAAGGATGGCACAATTATACAGAAGACAAACATTTTGAGCCCTGAAGATGATCCCAATAAAGATCGAAACGTTGGCACGATAAAGAAAATGTTTTTCTGAAACCTACATCACACCAGACCGCATCTCTCGATTTCTGAATAATTATTGATAATGAAGTCTGTCAGTTTTCAAATTTCACTCTTTGGCTACTACTTTAGGGCGAAATGTTATGGATTATGGATCTTCTTCTTGATCTTTGATAACGAGGCCAATGAGAAGAAATGTATGGCCTGTAATGCTGATAGTTCTGGCTCTTCAGATTGCTCTAACAAATCTGGGAAGCATGAATGCTCAGCTTTACAGGTCAAAAACGTTACAGAAAATCCAGATATTGTAAATACTGAATTACCTCAATTATATTGACTTTTTTTTATTTTTTCTTTTCTCTTCATTAAGAGCGAAGTAGTACTAATTGTAAAATTATTTTAGTTTTTAAGAAGTTTCGACCACTTTTTCCATCGCGAACACTGGATTAAGGGATAGTCTTGAAGGAGACAGCAAATTCAGTTTGTTACTGCCGGCTTTCGACCTATTAAAAGGTCATCATCAGGGCCTATATTAATTTCACATTATGAAACAAATATGTTTTCGTAACAAATATTTATGTTTGTTTGTTAAGTTTGTGTGTTGTCTGTTACTATCCCAACGAAACTAAGACCCTTATAGTCATTCATTGACCACCATTATCGTTACAGCAAATAAACTAACTTAAATTACTGAGAGCCAATATATGCAACAAAAGTGTCACAATTCAAGAAGAGGTAATTTTTTGGGGTAGTAAAACTGGATTTTTAAAGTTTTGTGTTTTCGTTTACATCTTTCGAGAAAGAAAAGTCAATATTGATGGATCATGGCAGTTTTTATTGCCAAAAACCATAATGGTGTGTACTTAATAAGTCCAAAAAGTAAACTTCCATTTGTCCCTTAAATTTTATTTTTAGTTCTGTCACTTTTCTTGTTGTGTGTGATCTATTTTTATCTTCCAGCGCTTTCTCTGCAATATCCGTGATTCTATTTATCTGATCTATGGTTCAATTCTTGGCTCTAGGTTCAATATGGTGGCTTGGTATAATGTTCGTTTTTTCAATCAAGGGTTTCAGTCATTTTAGCAACATTTTTTTGAATAATTTTGTGATAACTGGTTGGAGCGGTAGGATGATATTATTGAGTTTAAGTTCCTAATACTGTAGAAATATTAGAATAATCCCAAATCCAAAAAAAATCCTCGCTCCTATACTGACTTGCTTTAGGCAAGATTCTTGAAAGTCTCCATATAAAAAATGGGTATCGCTAGCTAATATTCTAACTCACCTTCTATTTTGTTTCTGCTAATTTCACTCTATAATGCCACAGATGCTTCGCATTATGGACAAAATATCAAGGGGCTCAAGGGCTTCTTTTGACATATCTTTTAATATTTAAATCCTAACTGACAAATCGAGGGCTCCTTTTCTACTTACATTTCCGATAAAGCGGATGACTCCCAGGGGAACACATTAGTTCTCTTCCTATTCACAATATACACAGACAACGTTCCTGATCTCCCCTTGCAATATTATATGCTTTTTTGCTGACACGATATCGTCTAATCCTGATTTTTCTTTTATCATATTAATAACATAATTACATTTAAACTCTGTCCAGTTTTAGTCACACAAATACAAGATAAAAGTAAATCCAAATCAACCAATCTTTACCGAAAATGTAAACCTCTGAAAAGACATGTCACTCGGGAGGTGAAGGGATGATAGAATCCTAGAGTTGTCTGGTTAAGAGACAAGGGAGGATTATTTGATTATGTAGGGAGGAATGTGAATGATTCATGAGAAATAGTGTAAAAGGCATTTTTTTCATCGATCAAAGCCAATATGTTCGTCAGGGCACAGTTTGCAACCGTACAATAACAATTGAGAGGGTGATCGACATGAGAACATGAAATAGCAAATTGCTGTTATTAATTTACAACTATTCAATTTTTGAATAGTTTTGAGTCAAAAAGAAAATCTCTTTTGGGGTTAAAGCGGGTATTCCCCGAGTGAACATCCTAGGGCCCTTCCTATTCACAATATACACAACGTTTCTGTTCTCCCCTAACCATATTATATGCTTTTTTGCTGACACATTATCCTCTAATCCTATATTAATGGACAATATTGATTGCTCATGACAGTTTTTATTAACAATAACCTTAATGGCGTGTACTTAATACATAAGTAAAAAAAAGTAAGCTTCCATTTGTCTCTCCTGTAAAATTTTCTTTTGATGAGTTGTGTCCTTTTTCTTGCGGGTGTGCGATATGACTGAAACAACAGCATAGATCAAACCAACAATGATAGTCAGACCAAAAAATTTTGAAAAACATGGATAATTTCACATTAGATTTCTTATTATATTTACCAATTATATTGTAATGACATGTCATGTACTAGTTTCCATTAGTTTTCTTGTAATAAGTGTGTGGTGATTAGTGACCGTTAATCGATATTTATTTAGAAATCGTGAGATGCGGTCTGGTGTGATGTAGGTTTCAGAAAAACATTTTCTTTATCGTGCCAACGTTTCAATCTTTATTGACATCATCTTAACAAATGTCATTACCGTGTGGTGGTTTATTACCGATTTTTGAACAATCACAGACAAAACTTCTCTATAAACAAACTCCTCCATTCGTCCAGTGAACTGACTAAAAACAACCCAACCAGGTATAATAAATAGATCTATTGTTCTTGCAACATTTTAGGTTTAAAATAGCCTATACACAATGAATTAAATTTAATAAACACGTGTAGATATATCTAAAAATATATTATATCAAAAATCGTGAGATGCCGTCTGGTGTGATGTAGGTTTCAGAAAAACGTTTTCTTTATCGTGCCAACGTTTCGATCTTTATTGAGATCATCTTCAGGGCCTGGGATTTACAAACATTTTTTACATATTACAATTACATTTTGGATGTGGAAAAGTGAATTTATACGATGCAAAATATATTCAATCAAAGTATTTTGCATTGTATAAATTTACTTTTACACATCCAAAATGTAATTGTAATATGTAAACAATGTTTGTAAATCCCAGGCCCTGAAGATGATCTCAATAAAGATCGAAACGTTGGCACGATAAAGAAAATGTTTTTCTGAAACCTACATCACACCAGACCTACATCTCACGATTTCTAAATAAATGTAATAAGTGTGTTGGTTATACGTCTAATCTTTTGAACAGGATGATTTTTGTTTGTTCACTATTTCAAAATTTACGCTTGTGTCAATGTTCTATAGTTTATTTTTGGAATGAGCTTTTTTGAAGTAGGTCACGGTTACACAAGGTAACTGAAACGAGTGTTTCCTGTTTAAAAAGAGCTGTGTCGCGCATTTTAGTGAAAACACGTTCATAGAAAAAAAAAACACTGTCAGGCCAGATATTTTCTCACGTTTTACACAATACATGACACATCTGAATTCCGGTTATGAGATATGGATGACAATCGGAGGCGGCCGGCTGATGCCCGAGGAAAGCAGTTGCGCAACCCGGGCGAGGCGTGCATTTCCCATTGAATTCCCACCTAATCCAGGGATTCGTGTTTACGGTCATTAAGTAATTCCGTTGAGTGTGGACGGGACGATTTTAACAGTTACGAGAACTCTGTGCGGCCTTGGTTTTCAGAGTCGCTACACCGTGCATCCCCCACGTTCTCTCCCCCACTCCGGCTATATAAAGTCAGGTCGCGGCCTGGAACCGGCGAAACTCAGAGCTGAGAGGTGTGTCGTGCGTGCATGTGCAAACGTTTTGACGAGATTAAAAATTTTATTTTGTTTTTCCAACACACGTCGAGTGACATTGGATGAAACTAAAATGGGAATTTCGGTGATCAAGGTAGCCGTTTTGAGCGCCCTTTTGACCGTCACCGCGGCTTTTAGTTCCAGCAGGAGGAACGGTGAAAATGGTGAGTATCCACAATTTTCGCCTACCCCCTCCAATTAAAAATAAAATAAAAATTATAAAACGAAACTATAAAAAAAATAAAACGAAGCCGTTGTTCCGCTTGAGCTATGTAAACCTTGAACTCGGCCTCCCACCTGTATACATCTCTTCCACGTGGATACCCATTCCTCAGACTATTAATTTTTTAATTTTTTACACGTTTTTACGACTTAAACGGTTTATTACCAAAGGCGTTCATTGATGAGGCCAATTCGAAAGAAAACATTCAGTTCCTTCATCGAGCATTCGAAATTTGTATCTTCATCAGGATTACGAAACTAAGATTATTAAATTAATTTTTTAACAAATCTTAACATATATATAAACATTTACAAACGTCATATACACTGAAACTAAAAGTTAGATTTTTATACAATCAAATCAAACAAGTTTTCAAACAATTTTTTTCAAAAAAATACATAACTACTAATTTGTACAAAATATATAATTACTCATGCGGAATTTTAGGAAATATTAACATAAATAAAATTTTGAATCTTTATGATTTTAAGTAAAATGAAACTAATAATTGGAGTTATATAAACCAGATCAAACATGTAGCAATATTTTTCAAAAATACCACTAATTTTCTTTTAAAATGTACTGTTATTTTTCAACTTGGTTCTTTAGAATTTAATTTCACTTGACTCTTGAAACTCAAAATTTCTCTTACACGCTTTCACAACTTAATGGGTTTATTGGGGTTGGGGTCCTATGTGGGACCACATCCCCAATAAATTCTCAAATCCAGAGTGTGTCAAAGCTGGTCTATACCAAAATAACAATAAAAAAATACCATTATTTTTTTATAGTATGTGCTGTTCATATTTAATTTGTTTCTTTAGAATTATTTTTATTTGACCCCAAACTCGACATTTTTAAAATTTCTTTTAAACGCTTTTACGACTTAAACGGTTTATTGGGGTTGGGGTCCTATGTGGGACCACATCCCCAATAAATTCTCAAATCCAGAGTGTGTCAAAGCTGGTCTATACCAAAATAACAATAAAAAAATAACATTTTTTTATAGTATGTGCTGGTCATATTTAATTTGTTTCTTTAGAATTAATTTTATTTGACCACAAACTCGACATTTTTAAAATTTCTTTTAAACGCTTTTAAGACTTAAACGGTTTATTATCAACGGCGGTCATTGACGAGGCCAATTCGAAAGAAATCCCTCAGTTCCTTCATCGAGCTTTCGAGCTTTTTATCCTCTTCATCAGGATTATTAATTTCATTTTTTAGCAAAACTAAACATCTACATAACAATTCGCAAATTTTATGATTTCAAGTAATATGAAACGAATAATTGGCATCACGTAGAGCCAGATAGAACATGTAGCAATCTCTTTCGAAAATACCATTAATTTTTTTTTATAAAATGTACTGGTTATGTTTAACTTGGTTCTTTAGAATTTAATTTTACTTGACCACGAATTCAAATTTTTAAAATTTATTTTACACGCTTCCACGACTTGAGTGGTTATAATAAAAACGGTCAGGGATAGCCAATTTGAAAGAAGACACTCAATTCCTTCGTTCAGCTTCAAGCTTTTTTCTCTTCATCAGGATTATGAAACTATAATTAATAATTTAAAGTTGAAGGAGAAAGTCAAAATTTTGAGAATCGTGTCCTGTAACAAAAGCTAATGTAGTCAGATGGAAGCGGAAAGAGAGACTCGCACAAACTTGCTACTGAAGAAGGCAAGAAGCCAAAACGCGTCACAGAAATCTCACCAAAAATTTTCGGAAACGATCAGGTTGTTCATCACCTCGCAGACCACAAGAGAAAATCTTACAATATACAACACATACGTAGAAATCACTCGATTAAAATTATTGACGCATATATAAAATATACAGTATACAGTACAGTATATATATAAATAAACAGGAAAACACAATACGCCACATATAATTATTAAGGTAGGCAAAAAATCAGTGTAATTATGGCACCGAGTAAATTTTTTTTTAATGTTCAGTTTTATATAAAAAAGATATTAAAAAATATTAAAAACTGTTAGTGATTGATCCTAGATAGGTTCATAAATAAATAGATATCAAGTGTGTGGGAGATAAAGAAGGAGATAAGCCAATGGTTTTTATAAAACAAACAAAAAATTACGTTTCTATTATAAATCTGCCACTAAAACAAATGAATTTGAAGTCGTTTAAATTATACAAAAATAAATTGAGTTTCCATAATATTCTTTACCACAGGTGAACCTTGTAAATTTTTAATGATTTTCAATTATTCTGGCATAGATGAACGGACAGGTAGACAAAGAAATAGAAAAAATGTGTGTGTGTGTGTGTGTGTGTGTGTGTGTGTGTGTGAGAGAGAGTGAGAGAGAGAGAGAGAGAGAGAGAGATAATGAGAGTGAGAGAGATATACACGCAGACAGACTTACAGACCGAGTGAGAGATAGACGGTAAACTGACAAAAGAAAGAGAGCTAAAAATAGAGAGAGAGAGAGAGAGAGAGAGAGAGAGAGAGAGAGACAGACAGACAGACAGAGAGACTGAAAGACAGAAGAGACAGACAGAAAAGAGACAGAAAGGTAGAATATGAGAGAGAAAGACAAACAGAGATAGCAAGTTGCAAAGAGAGAGAGAGAGACAGAGAGAGAGAGAAGAGATGGAAACAGGCAGAAAGAAAAATGGATAGGGAGATAGAAAGATAGATAGAGAGAGAGAGAGAGATAGAGAGAGAGTAGAAAAAGTGAAAATAGACAAAGTTAAAAAGAAAGAGACTAAGACAGAAAAAGTAAGAAAGAATGAAAACCAAAACAAATAAAGATACATATTTATATATTCCAGTATTAAATTTTAATTCGTTTCTAAAAAAAATATTGTGTGATTACTCCATGTTGCCTGCAGAATGTGATGAATCTGAAATTTTGTCGTTAACAATCGTTTTGGATTTTCAGACCCATTTGGCTTCCCGCCGTTCAGTTTGTCTGAACACTCAATTTAAAAAAATAAACAAATAAATAAAAGTGTATAAAATATTTCATCATAAGCAAAGCCAAAAATGAAATAAAAAGGACAAGTTTTTTTTCGGTTCTATTGAATTTTTATTTTGAATAACATGAATATGTAAATATTACAAGAATATAAATTGAAGTACTTTTTTCTCGTAACCGATACACAGTCTTTATAAATAATTTACACTGATTGTATATGGTACTTGAAAAAAGAAAAATAATCCTTTAATTCCAGTTGAATCAGCTTTAACGCACGTCAGAACTGGTATATGGGATTAGTTAATACATTGTCAATACTATGAATCATCCGAGTAGATTAACTGTCAGCAGAAGGGGATTTCCCAAGTTTAATTACCTCAGCATTAAAAATTCTTCCCTTTAACAAATTCATTAAGGACTAGACGGCTGATAAAATTTTACGCCCTGTCCATTTCGACTATGTTTCTCGTTTTAAAAGACAATGTTGAAAATATTTGATCTTAAACTAGAGACTGTTGTTTATCAGTTAAAAGGCGTAGTTTGCCCGTATTTCTTTTCGCTATTTAAATAGTGTTTGTCCAATTTGCTATGTATTTACCAAGCCGTGGGCCGAATAGAAACGACTCGCTCATCTCGCCAATTGTCCCGCTCGTAGAAAGATTCCTATAAATAAATTCTATTCAGCGTCCCATTCCATTGAGCCTATTTCCTTTTTTATTCCAAGGCTCGTCAATTTCAATATTTACAATACGTTTTAAAATAGAAACGTTTTCTCATCCGTCGACAAGAAGTGATGGATTCAAATTATAATCCGTCCCACGAGCAGTATTTTATGTTTTTATTTATAGATTGGGGGTAAAAAGACGGAATTATCAATGTTATAATAATAGTGATTTTTATGACAAAATCCCTATAAATATTTTTATTATCTTATCTGTATTACTACCTGTTTTTTCTCGGATTTGAATTTTTGAAACCAAAAATTTATTATTTGGAATACAGACATATATATATATATATATATATATATATATATTTGCAGTTAACTAATAGTACGTATAAAAACAAAAAATTATCCTTTTATTTTATATAGATTCTATTGATTTTGTAACAAATGATACAAAAAATAACAATATTGTTGTGTTTTTTTAGTGGCTGGTTGTTAAATAATTTGTAGGATTTCGATTTGTAGAGACGATGTTTTTGCCGATGTTTCGACCTTTATTCTGGTCATCTTCAGAACGTAAAGTGCAGTGCTATTCTTGTGGTGTCTATTGGTTTTGTGTGAAAAATCGATATGACAAAAATCCTTATAAATATTTTTATTATCTAATCTGTATTACTACCTGCTCTGTCTCGGATTTGAATTTTTGAAACCAAAAATGTATTATTTCGAATACATATATATATTTTTTTGCCGTTAACTAATAGTAGGTATACAAAAAAAAATGATCCTTTTATTTTATATAGATTCTATGGATTTTGGAAAAAATTATACAAAAAATAACAATATTTTTGTGTTTTTTAGTGACTGGTTGTTAAATAATTTATAGAATTTCGATTTGTAGAGACGATGTTTATGCCGATGTTTCGACCTTTATTCGGGTCATCTTCAGAACGTACAGTGCAGTGCTCATCTTGTGGTGTCATATTGGTTGAAACTGTTGTCCACAAAACCAATATGACACGACAAGAATAGCAAACACTTTATGCGCTGAAGATGACTCAAATAAAGGTCGAAACGTCGCCAAAAAAATCAAAAAGGTGTTTTTCTAAATTACCTCGTTCTTAATCTCTCCTCACGGCTCCAACAAATTATTAAACAATATTTTTTGTTAATTCTCAAATTACTCTAGATAAAGTGCAATATCTCGCAATTTTGAATATTTAAAAAAAAAATTTAATAAAGAACACAAGTGGGTACGTGTCATATTTTCAAGCAAAATTTGTTTTGTTGAAAAGTTGTATTTAGTTACGTTGTACTCTGACATTT